CGTCATTCGCGTTATCGGCATTCGCACTCACGTAGTACATCCATTTTTTTAGATCAAAATATATAATTTTGCGCTTTAGACTTATAGTAGCCTCCGTTGTAAGTACTCCGTTGGGATACTGCAATGTTAGAGAAAACCTCGATGCCGATTACCTACCATAGCTGTAATGAGAATTAAAAAGGCTCTAGTGTTTTCTTTGGGACATTACCATTGACTTACAATTATATGGACGTCGGGTCCGCGGTAAAAAGTGTCCGAACTTATAGGGCGTTAAAATCGTATACAGAGCGTCATTCACGCTTTAGTCTTCGTTTGTTCGACTGACAGCAAAGCAAGCAAAATTAGACAGTATTGAATTCAACGTTTTAGCTTCTTCATATTCCTTTACATGTCACTACGTTTAAATAGGTTGACTTGGGACATTTTTTTCGTGGTTTTTGTATTAGACCCGTCGTCCATTTATTTGTAAGTCAATGGACATTACAGTAAAGTTAGCCTGCATGCAATCATACTTTTTACTTTACTATTTACGTGCAAGGTTGATGAAAAACATTGTGTGTCTCACGTGTGGCACGGGAATTACGAAGCTCAGCTCCGAAGGCCCAAACTGTTCGACTTCGGGCTTCTAATAGAGTCCGTTCGTGATTTCTTATTTATCGCCCTAAATACACAATGTACTATCATGTAGTTCGAATTATTTTTATGACTTTAAGATAAAAACATGTAATGTTTTCACATTATCGGCGTAGTTTCTACGGACCCCTTATCTTCTTCATTTCTCTCATTATACGTTTCGTTATACGTTTTCCTAATTCATGAAAGAGTTAACTAATATTTACTAATTATTTTAGTATGGTAGAGTAGGCTGTATGAATTGTATTAGAACTGTCTGAAGAATAAATATAGGTGTGTATTTAGAATTATATAAAAATAAAAGAGCATTGTTTATAAAATGAACTCCGCGGTGGTTCTGGAAAAAGTTTCGAATTGAATACACGTACTTAGTAAAGATTTATTTTAAATTATTTTCCTCGTTTCTCATTGAAAAGTGCCTCTCGCTACGCTAACCCACGGCTACGACCCTTACAGTACTTATAACACTTTTAATTTCCTTTTCTAAGCTATTTTTCTCACTTTGACAGTTTACTCACTTTTCATGTCTGATAGTTTATCTGAAGTTTGTTATTCGTTTTTCCAATGATAATTATTTCGTACCTATTCAATATTTTCCTTTTTCCTTGTGGAAAGGCAATGGTCTTCATATGTTGACATTGATTGACAGATCCGTTATTCTTCTACAATCTATACTTGCATAGACTATCCTATAAATTACTCCTTCCTTTGATATGCAATCTTGGCAGTAAAAGCGTTTACGCTCCTGACCACTCACATTTTAGTTCCTTATTTCGAATTGAAATGTGTCTGGTAGTTTCTCGTTAACAATCGTTCGTCACTCCTAACCGACCTTCAAGTTATCATCTTTCTTAAACCTGGAGTTACTCCTGCCGCGCTGACGTGTCTGCCTGAACTAAGTACCCCGATTACCCACCTTTACGCTCTGCTTATCTGAACTGGGCCTTTCGCGCTGCGAGTTTGGGGCGCCTAACTACAAGCTCCATCTCGCCACAGGACAAACTGAAGCCAGTTCTGCATAACCGCCGCTGTTTCTACGATAACCTCACCGTTCTCAGAATCCAGTGCTACATAACCGCCGCTGCTTATACGACAACCTCTCCACTCCCCGCCTCTACGCCAAACCCGCTGCTTTTCGGCTCTACACCTCTGCTCTCGGTATCCAACCTTGGAGGACAGAGGCCTCCAACTCCGTGTACTTTTCTACATAACACTCCCAGGTTCTTTTTGGTATAAACGTATTGCTATACTTTGTCATTCTCCACACTTTTGATTTCATACCTTCTACCTCTCCTAAGCTTTCTAATCCGACATTCTAGCTCTTTACACCGACAAACATATTTGACGTATGATACACATTTGCTTGAATAATACAATGCTGTAAAATCTTCACTATATGCATATCTGATGAATGGTAAAGTCGTCGTCGTGTGAAAACTGTGCCATCTTCAAAATAATCATGCCTGAAAGTTAATTTTCTTTAAAACATGGACTCTTTATTTTATTTCGCCTTATTTTATAAGCTAGCTGGCCTTTATAAGGAAGCGCCGCTCTTCCTTAGCTACAGGTTATAAATTACGTAAATCCACTTACCCAAAAATAATCTTACGTACTGTAAAGCCCCTGATAAACCTTCTGCTTAATTCAGATTGGAGCATCTTAGTAATTTGCTGTATCAAACCAGGGGGTCGATTCAGAACCATACGATAACTCAGTTGTTGACCGATTTCTTTTCATTTTTATTCACATCACCCGAATCGAACCTCAAACTGTCGTATTCGAAACCTAACCGAGATGACGTCACACCCGTACGATTACTCGAGCTTCTCGACCGGCAAAGGCTACAAACGTTATCCAGAACACAGTTACCGAATGAAAGTTACCGAGCGTCCTATTGTTTACAAAGCAAGAATGTAATACGGAAATATCTTATTATTTTTAATAAAGTCTGGATTTTGTTCAATTTTATTAATTTATTTTAATGTAAGACTAATGCATTCCTATATTTTAGGCCTTTAAAGTCTGAAAAATGTATATAAAATGTTCGTTCGTTTTTCTTATAATCTATTTCACCGACTAACTCCGTAAAAGCTGTTGGATAACGATATCGTATCCGAATCTAAACCGAACGCTTAACTCGGAATGTTCTGAATAGCTCGGAAAGCGCCCTTCGATTCGGGAACGATATCCAACCGAACGATTCGTTTAAAATGTCGAAGAGTCCTGAATCGGGGTCCTGGACTAATGAAATTATCCAAAACGATAAAATATATACATATATACGGGCGAATTAAGAGCATCTTCCTTTTGTATACTGCCTTACATATAATAGTACGTTGTGTATTAAGGGCGATAATTAGGAAATTACGTTTGTTGGAAGCTTGATTACAAAGACGAGGTTTGTAATTTTTACCGCCCGTGCTACATACAATGTTTTTCATCATATTTGTGAGGAAATAGATACAACAATAATATAGTTCTTGCATGAATATCGCTTCATAACGTATTTTGTTTTTTAATGATAAAAAGCACAGGCACAATGTATTAGACATAAAATAAATCATTCTAAACTGCAGAATTAGAATTTATAAAATAAATTTAGTAAAGTATAGTCAAGTTGCAAATATTTTTTTTTAATACTTCAAGTTTATGCGAAATAATGTTCAGATTTTTCGAGCACAAAAATTTTTTGCTTCATGTTCACGTGTAAAATCCATAGGACGATAATGTAACGAAAAAGACGGACGGTCGACTTTGCCTGCATGTCATGACACTGTTTATGAGGAAATGTGATGGATATTACTTTTTTTTATGATAACAAGTGACGGGACGAACAAGTCGTGCGCCTGATGGTAAGTGACATGCCTGTCCATGACAGTTGCAGTGCCATTCAGAGCTTTAAAATACAAAGATCTGAAGGCGATTGCCTTTCAGCCCGTCACCCTGAGACATAAGTTGATAAGTCTCGTGTGCTTGTACTTTCACCAGCACTCTTACCCTTCAAAACCGGAACGCAGTAATGCTCACATTACTGCTTGGCGGCAGAAATACGTAAAGTGGCAGTACTCTCTTTCACAAGGAACTCTACTACCTCTCTACTAACTCTACTACTCTACTACTAAAACACTAAAGAACTGATGTCGGGTACTCAACCCGACATCAGTTCTTTAGTGTTTTAGTTAATCATTTTTTATTGTTAAATCTACAATACAGAATATTAATTAATTCATTCATCCGTTCATAAGTTCACAGCAGTGTACGACGGTGAATCCATCACCTTTGAATTACATTTAGTCAACATAATGTTGTGTTTTCTTCCCGCACTTTCAAAGTTGTTCGAAACTTCATTAGCAGATCACTTTGCTAATTGCATGGACTTCAGTCGTAAGTTGAACGCGGAAGTTAATGAATATTAAATTGATTTTAATTTTATTCGACGCAAAACCGTTATATTGAAAATATCTACAAAGTATTTTAGTTAATACGAAGGAATGGAAGCTGGACCAACGAAGCGCCCCTTCTTGACCGTTATAAATGAAATTGACTTCCCTTAGTCTACGCGTTCTTGGTAACGATATAGACCAATCACGTTGAGTGATTTGTCGATTGTGTTTCCTTTATTGACAATGATTGGTCGAGATCGTCACGTGTAAAGTCATGCACTAAAAAGCAACAATGACAAACCAAAACACTACACATACATATCTCAGTATGGATTAATTATAGGTTATGCCAAGTAGATAATGATAAAACTTAAATTAATTATTAAGTTTATTGATTGTCACAATGTTTTACTTCCTTGATATTCAATTATTTTTTGTGAAACTGCTTCACTAGTTTGTTAAAATTATTAATAACAAAGATCGAACACGAAAAATTTATTTCGAACCGGCTGGATTCGAACAAATCCACGCCATATGCTCTGCACATTAAGCCACGAAACGAACCATCAGTCCTTACGAATTTTTCTACGCGCTTTTTGCAAAAAAAAGATAAAACTTAGGAGTTGAGGAAGTCATTCTTGACATATTGTTTGAAGGAATAAGAGGAGGGGATTGTCGAATAGATTCAGGGAGCTAATTCGATAGTCTGATGGCAGACACAGGAAAAGAGTAGAAATAAAAGTTGAATTGCCCTATAAATGTACGGGATATTTTCCATTTTATAACCTCGTTCTCATACAACCTTATAATTATGTTATATATTTATTCAACTGTATAAAGTTCCAGACGACCGCACCAATTACTTAATCTCAAACTTGGAAATTCTTGAAGATCACCCAGATCAGGACAAATTTTGGAATGTTAGTTTGAGTTAACCGTTGAGTGAGCCACTGAGGTCATGAAAAGGTCACACCGAGAACATACCTGCATGTTACAAATCTTGTACCGCACAGGCTCCCCGCGGCATCCAGCCGGCGCAGAACATGTACGAAGTTGTCGTGACACGCCACCGTCGCATGTACGTGAACATAACGACCACTCGCTCCATTGTGACCAGCCACCACGTTCCTGAGTAAGAAAAATGAAGTATTTTGAGATTGCTTACAGTGACGCTTTATTATCTTATGACAATGTCCGGACATAGCTTCCAACTTAAAGGACAACTTATGTGTCCTCGTCTAGACCGCTATTATGCCGTGGTTTCGGCTGCATGAAGTTTATTAAGACTTCACGTAGTCCCACGTGCCTGTAATTACACCAGCACCCTTACCCTTCAAAACCTTGCCTAAGACGCGCTTGCTGCGTACGAGACAGATGCGCCTCGAACATGTTATTCGTCTCTGCAGTTACCAGAAGCACCGGCGAGTTTATACCCAGATTTCGGGTCCGCCACAGACGCCCGTGAAGGCGTATCACTGGTGGAGGGCTTGGCGCGGACTCCCGCCGACACTTAATCTTACCGGGGAGCCGGTAGTCTTCCTGGAACTCTCTATCTTTCGGGTAAGTAGATAAGGAGCTCCAGGTCAGGTCGGGATCAGTCGCATCATCGGTATTTCTAGTTGCTGTAGCGCTCCGTGTGAAAAAGATCGTCCAGGGAAATACTGCCAAACTGTAATGCTTACATTACTGCAATTGGGCTTTAAAGGGTAAATAACGGTGCTGGTGAAATTACAGGCACATGTGACTTATGAGACTTGTCAACTTATGGTTTTGGTTTTAGTCTGTTGTTACGTTTATGTTTGCTTGCGTTCGTGTGAACATAACTACAATGGAAGTAGAAAAAAGACCACGTCTTGCAATGTCCGTGACCAAGAAGGAATGGATGTCTTCGACGATACATTTCAAACCGGCCCCAAAAAGAATATTGGTCTTTGTGCGAATGTGCCAATAAAACTGCTGAGATTCTGGGGATATCTAAAAGAACCGTTCGATGACTAGTTTGCATGAGTAAAAACAACAGTCAATATTTGACATGTTAGCCATTGATATCGAAAACAAAACATAGTTTATGTTCCTAATATAAAGAATATTTTAAGACGTTTCTTTTGCGTAATTTTACACGGGTCGTGACCCTTCTCCTTTTCTCGTATTTTTTTAATTGAAAATATTTCATAACACGAAATGATTCTAAAATTTTTCGTAAATTGTCACCACAAAAGAGCATTTTTCCATTATTATCATTAGTCAGAATAGGGTGGAACCTATTAATAAATAAACGTGAAAAAAAAAGGTTTATGATCTATGAGATGTCACTTTGAGATTCTGAAATTGTTTATTAAAAAAAGTGTAGGTTGTTAATAGGCTTGTTTGTCAGTGGAAGACATTTCTTTTTCCAATTTTTCAATATGACTAGGAAATCTATTTTAACGCAGCCGTATAAAAGCACAGCCCTGCCCGTACGAATACACTGCCGCTGGGATCCATTTCAAGCCATTCTATCTTGCTTCTTAATTAACACGTTCTCGGTTCCAATTCCGGTGGCGGTGTGTATCTAAATCACGTCTATTTGTTAATGTATAATAGCTATACCACTTCACATATCATTTAGGTACCTATTTGTGGAAATGTAGGTTGTATAAAAGTTGACATGTAATAAAATAAGTATAGTCTTACTATGCCCAGTCAAATATTTACTTACATGGACTTTAACAGACTAATTAGGCGCATTTTTTTTTAAACGACTTTAAAAAGGAGAAGTTTCAATTACGTTTTTTTGTGAGCATGTTACGCGATTTTTTGTAAAATGTAACTAGATGTCAAAATAGTGAAAAAAGAGAGAAATTAGTAGTATGCGTTTGGTATCTGAATAACGTCAGAATAAGTATAAAAAAATGTCAACAAAATAGACAATGAGGTTAGGAATTTGTCATTTAAAAATTCAGACACTGTATAGTACATTTTGTTAATCTTTTTTTATAGAACCAAGTAACGCGAAGAACTAGTCGTGCGCCTCGTGTTAAGCAACTTGCCTGTGAGATTTCCTTGTGCCTGCAATTTCACTAGCACCGTATGAAATTACTCCACGAGTTTGTTATAATTATTAATACAAAGATCGAACACTTAGAAGAAATTCCTTCGATCCGGATTCGAACCTACGTCTTCTAGTAAGCTGTGCCAGACGCTATGCCAACTAAGCTAGAACCAGCGGATCTCACGAATTTTTCCATGTGCTTGTTTGTCGGATCTTTGTATTTGGTTTTTAACGACTTTTTAGCCGCCATCTTTGAGAAATCTGTTACTACAAAAAATCTCTAATAAAACAAGTCATGCACCTGGTGGCACCCTAGGGTCACTGCACCCGCACCCTGAAAATTGATAAGTCTTATGTGTAATAATGTAAGGCTACATTACTGCTTGACGGAAGAAATAAGTAAGCCAGTATTTCCCTGGACGAGCTCTCTTACAAGGATCTGAACGTTTTGTGTTTCTCATTAACACCTAGTATCTATTTACATAACTAAATGTCAACGAATGAGTCGTTAAAATTTTTTTCAGATCTAAATAGTGTATATTTGTTTTTTCAAATAAATCGGCATTTCGAGTTCTGTACAGGTCCCTTATTCACATGTCACGGTTGAATGAGATGATATTAGTTATAAAACCACATAAAACAGTTATTAAAGCGACCTAATTCTGAAATATGTACAGTTACAAACACAATTTTTTTTAAATATAATGGACGTGCTCTTGACCACAGAACAATAAATACAGTACAAGTGGTTAGTTCGCGTCTGACGCGTGCCAACATTAGGTCACGAAAGACCTACTTGAGCTCAATCCGCCAGTTTCGCTGTGTATGGTAGGTATGGTTGTGTCATTCTTTCGCGCAATTCTCTAAAATCTCAGAAAAATGCCTTATTTTGGAGTGCAAAAATGATAGCTGCACCAAAAATATTTCCCGCACAAGAAACGAAAATAAAGCTCATACCCCTGCAATATGGTCGCTTTTTTTTTGGAGAACTAAATTAATAACTCCAATTCGTCGTCGTTCAGCAAGTAACCGCTAGATGGCAGCACATTGACTGAAATATTTCAATATAATATCAAAACGTCGTAATTTGCAATAATAGGTATTGATGGTATTGAACTATCAACGATATGCCAACAGGGTAAAGGTTAAATTATATTAACAATCAAGAATTTGTTGCTTCTATTTAAATTTGAAACTCCGACCAATCAATATCAAGATTCTGTGGTGTTCCAAATTAAGAACGTGAGCTTTGGTGACATCGGTTCTGGTTATAATCGACGATTAAGTCACTTCCATTGTTTTTTTTCTTCCGTGGTTTCAACAAAATTAGCTGGCCCAGGTAATTGGTGTGATCGTCTGGCACTATTAAAAACATTAAAAGTTTATTTTACTAAACTAAAACCAAGCTAGTTTTTGAACTAAATTAACATAGCCGAGCCAAGAACCAAACTAACAACCTAGTACGTCTATTCAACCCCCGCTGTATGCTCTCACCTTTTAGCCTTTGTGAAAATCCCTATCCGATTTTCAGTCTCACGTGAATTGCAAAATCGAATAGACCATTTTAACAGCATGTCGGGTGTTGTATCGACAGCCTGCAGCGACAGTATACAGTTGATTTACTATGTGTTCCTCTATGTATTTATAAAAGTACAAACAAGTTGACTGTGACATTTTTCTGCTGAAATTAATATTAAAAAAATAACTGACAGAATATCTTATGTTAAATGTGCGTAGCAACTTAGAGTATGCCTCCCTGGAACCCAATGTATAACATCTATATTTCGCAGATTGAAAGAATTAGCAAAAATGTATTCGTTACTTATGTTTTAAAATTAATCAGCCTTACCGCTCTTTAAACTATTTAGATATCTACAAAAGACACCATATAGTTCCCCTTGAATTAGGGCGTAAAACGGCAGACATAAACTATCTCATTAAAATTATCACCAATATCGCCGATTGCCCCGAGCTTCTGTCTGAGATTCACTTACGGGTTCCAGCTAAGCATTTCCGTAACGAGACACTGATTCATTTACCTGTCGCTTTACAAAATTACAAACGGAATTCGTTTATATGGCGTGCGAGCAATAATTTTAACAAAGTTTCTGCTCTTTACGATTTCGATTTGTTTAACACAAACTGTGCGTACGTTAAGAAAGTATTATCTAAATATTTTTTTATTACTAAAGTAATCTAATTTTCTTAATGTTACATTGCTTCTATAATGTGTTATGTGTGTGTGTACTATGTCGTTTAGTTGTTTAGTGTTGTCAATACTATATTTTGCTATTGTATTTTTATGAGCAGGGAACTGCTTATAATTATTTAATATAATTACTATTACATTGTGATACAAGCTGTTTATACTTTCAAAAATAAAATAAAATAAATATATACTAATTTATCAACGGCATCTATGTACTAGCGTACTAGATGCGACGTTCCATAACCACGCTGAGTTTCATTTAACATAACATTGAAATTATTTATGTTATTTTAAATAGTTTTCCTTGCGGAAAGGCAAAGATTTTTAGACTATGCAGCCTAGTCAAGTACACAGAAATCGTTGAGCCTAGTCTCTTTTTTATATTTTTTTTAATTCAAGTCATATTATGCATTACTCTGACGCTGACAAACGTCGATGACCATGCGTCGATGACCTTGAGCGATAACGCGCCTACTATAATTTGTCCAATGAGGTGGCGCCGTACGCCCCGATGCGGTAAGAGTGTGATAGTTGGACCTTCCGCTTGATTTAAAATAATATTGATTGCCGCTAACAGATGGCGTTGTACTTAAAGTACACACATGCTATCAAACCAAAAAATATCAAAGCATATAAGAACTGGATATGTTATGCAAACAAGAAACAACACACACTTGGAGTGAAATTGAGTTATGTATTTAGGTAGAACACCAGACGTGTCCTTTACCCGCTCACATAAGATCCTGGCAACATACCAAGCCAAAACGGAGAAAATAAAAGTCCTTCAGGGTACCAACCCTAAATAAGTAACTTTTTAATAGCTAAAAAGAACCTTGCTGCTTCTTATAACTTTATACAATGTCTTTTTTAAAATCTGCTAAACGGATC